CAGTAAGATAATGGATGTTTATTGACTTATAAGTATCACTGACTAGTATTTCGTAAGTAGCAATAATCTTGTAAACAGATTGTTTATTCATGTACTTGTGAATTCGTTTTATGCTAACCAGTTTTTCACTCCTCAAGTTAGATCATATCGTATGTTATCTGTCACATAGCTACTTGATCAGTTACTAAGGCATAGATAACAAACATGATATTAGTTACTCAATGATCGACCAGTACATATTACACAAAACTATAATCACTTAATTAGTAGAAACAATGTTTGTTGGAACGTGATATTTCTTCATGATACCCATATGAATGAATAGTAAGTTGTCAAAGGTTACATTTTCCATTTTGATTAGTGTTTATTACAAAACAATTCATTGAGTTAGAAATTATAAAACCCTTAAACTAAATCATTAATCACGATGGCGTTTGAAAGGAATAGTACTAGGCTTGAATCCCAGAGTGAACATCAACTCTAAGATGCAGGTAAATTCAGCTGACGTGTCCCAAATAGAACTGAAACACCCATCAAACTGGATTCCACTGCTAGCCACTATCCATCTTTGCTTATAATCCTTTTGAATTAAGGCAATATGCATACATGCTAATAAGAAACTGATCAATTTTAGTCCTAAACATCAATGGGAAGATTCAAGTAAATATTACGTGATCACTACATTCAGCCACATGTAATTGATTTTAAACCAAACATTAGGTGTGATGGCTAGTCGTCTCTCAACTCAACACAATATTTACGACCTGACAGTATTTGAAACGTTTTTATAAAATATGATTATTTCCTGTGTCATCCATTACGAGCTTCTTTAAGAAAGCTTTCTCAATTAATTTTATATCGAAAATGTAGAAATAAATGAAGATAGTTGCAATACTACAGAACGTATGCTACTGAATATTACTACTGTCCTGCATTTTAATACAGTGTTCATTTGGGAAAAGGATGAAAATTATATTGTTAAGTCTGTCCAAGCGTATAAGCGACCTGATTGAGATACGCGCAAAATCGAAGTTCCAAAACAACCACTTGTCTACAATAGCGGTTCTTTGTTGAATAATACACAAAATTTAGTTACAAATCTCAACTTGTGAGGTGTCTGGGGCGTTTAAACGCATCCTTCAAGTATGAAATAAAAAGGCTTCGTGTAACAGTAACATAAAGAATAATTACAACATACGATAGTACAAAGGACAGCTGATAGCTGTGTCTAAATTTGATAACAGTTTATGAACTGCCGAAACCCGAACCAAGAGCGAAACAATATGGAATCTGTTGCGTTTAAACAAATGCACAAAACTGTAGATAACCGCCACAGTGATTAAAGTACAGTGATTATAATGATAAGTACAATAAACGTTATAAGTATATGTGAACAATTCAGAATATTACACTTCAACTTGCGTTACAACACAACTGTAAGAATTGTTGGGAATACAACTGCTTACTGAATGTAGATAGATAGTATAAAACAATATACAAAGGAGTGGAAAAGGAGCGAGTAGGAACAATGTAAGGCAAACTTAACAATATTCGAACTTCATTTTGAAACTACTTCTGCGTTTGACTCCTTTTTTAGGTTGACAGATGACCTTTATATATGTACGTCAGTTTCTTTCTTTTCAAGTTCCCTCAAAACGAGTTCTTATCCCTCATTTATCTAATAGTCGCACACTTAATTTCTTGAAATGTTAAAGTGTTAGCTTCAATTTCAAACATCAAGAGTACTTAAACATCCTATTGGAATTACATGAGACTTGTACCATTTGAGATTTTTTACTAAAATTTATGTTGAATGTCATTCATCTTGATTCAAGTTATTCATCTGATCCATCTCGTTCTTTCCATGATTAGCTAATATCAGAAAAGTTCTTTCTTGGAATTGTTTCTGACAAACTTTATTGTTCATTGATTCCTGTTATTATCTTGATTGTTTTTAGTTTCCTCAATCATTTGCTCGTAGGCATTCCACTTTAGATTGGTGCTGCATACTACTTATATCTGTCAACATAAGTAGTATACACCATAATTTAATGTATGTACATCAGTTGAAAAACCAGTAAGCTTAATTTCATTTAAAAATGAACTGATAATCAGTGCAATCGTTAAATTATTCGTCGAGATTTGATTAAAGAAAGTTTTAGGTGGAGAGAAGATTAATGATCTTAGCTCACTTCAAACATGATCTCAAACATTATGGAACAAGTGTTTAACATTGGTTAAGAAAAAAATTTTTAAAAACATTTTTCTTTATTCTTTCGACAAGTTTCCCACTTTTTCAAACATCATCAACATTATTGTAAGCGTAAAGACGGGACTTAAAGTATGTGATTTTCAGTATTGACGTTATTTAGACTTTTGTTTCCTATGTGGTTAGGCTTTATCGTCTAAGATGCCAGTTATCCATAGGGAACACCCGACTATAGTAAATAGTGTTTCAATGAAAACAAATTAGTTTTTTCCTTAAAAATAGGTTATGTAATTCAATACACCTCTGTAACAACAAAACAACATAGGAACAAATGAACAGGGTTTTCTAGTGAAAGCCCTTACTTGTAAAACACAATCATTAATATGTCGGATAATTTTGTAATAAGACTTTGCCTACTTATTAATGATTTTAAGTAGTTTATTTTTTTATTTATAAGGCGAAAACAATCTTTATGAGGAAATTCACTGAAACCATAGATTTCAAATCATAATCAAACAAAAACTTAACATAATGAGGAATCAAAGTTTTTGTAATCTTACCTTTCCATGAAATCTAGAAGAGAAGTCGATATAGATGAAAGAGATCACATATGAAATGAGTATTATTTTTCTTCAATATTATTATTAATAAGACAAAAAGTCTAGTTTCAATTCACTTGATATTGTGTACTTGAATGTTCCCATTGATGTTTAGGATTGCCGTTGATCATTCACTTATTGTCATATGTGCATACTATGTGTATTGCTTTGATATTGTCATAATCCGCAAGCTTTATAAACAACGATGGATAATGGTTAGCAGTGCAATCCAGTTTGATGCGTGTTTCAGTTCTATTTGGGACTCGTCAGCTGGATGCAATATACAAATATGCCAATAAGCGACTTATCAATTGCAATGCTAAACATTAATGGGATGATTTATGTAGATAATAGTAAGTGAATTTGAACTTCATCCTATTGCACAAGCAAGTGGCTATCAAGATTCATCAGCTAAGTAGATAATGGCGTTTAAAGCAATGCGTACTGGGTTTGAGTCCAGGAGTGAACATCAACTATAAGATGCAGATACATTCAACTGACGAGTCCTAAATAGAATTGAATCACGCATCATACTGGATTCTACTGTTAGCCATTATCCATCTTTGCTTATAATGAATAACTATGGGATTTCATGGAAGAATTAATTAAGGACTAATAAATGTGACTATAATCACAATTGATTGGTCACTGGGTGGTGATCCATGTCATGTGTGTCAAGTCCTTATTTAATGCAGACTGAATGCTATCAACCATGTTGCAATGTGACCACCAGTCTAGGTGACTCGACATTGCGGGCACTATATATTGAGATTAGATGGTGGTTGGAGGTAGTCGACAGGAATCCCTGGATCCGGGTTTCGAGCTACTTGGCATTCGTCAGCAAGGTGTTTCTGTAATCCTGAAGGAACTGGTGCTCCCTGACGGATTCAATCCGTGTCACCCATCTTTACAGTCTGAGGTACAGGGACACCTTGCTGACGATTGCCAAGTAGTACGAAACCCGGGTCCAGGGTTTCCAGTCGACTATATCCAACCACCATCTAAATGTGACTATAATTTATGGATGAACCGATCAGATTTATAATAACAAGTCTTGCATTTTGACACAAACTTCATCTACTCATAACATTGTCATTTTTAGCTGATATCGGTTCATAATAAAAACCCTAAATCCAAAAATCAATTATCACTCTAGTAACTAGGTGAATATTCCCAAGATCAACTTTAGTAATCGGTCAAAGATCATTCATAAATTATCATCTCACTGAATAATAAGGGTGATATTGAATGGATAGAGATAAAACAAATGATTAAGAGTTACTTATAAAAAAAGGTTAAATCTTGCATAACATTCACATATTACATAACAGATAATATTCATGATAGTAAAATGGAATAACCAAGATAACATATGATTGATATAAATGATTTTTTTGTTTAAAAAATGAATTAACCTTCAGAAGAAAATCAATAAAGGGGGGGATAACGTCGAATTTTATTTGATAACTGTTACCATGACAACAAATAGAGAAAGGATTCCATGAAAACACAAAGAGAAATGATAAACATTCTGTGCATTTTTTCTTCATTACAAAAAAAACTGATTGGTTATAAGTAGTATAAACAGAAGGGCAAAAATATCTTTACATAAAACTATACTTTACACATTGTTCGTTTCTTTTTTTTTGGGCAAGATCTTTGTCAATCCATCATATTCACCTTAGAGAAGTACATTCACAAATATTGTAATCCTTTTGAAATAAACGACACAATACAACATGTATATCGATGGATATAATGAAGAGAGAAAGACAAAAAAGAAAAGTAACAATTCAATTAGTTACGTAACAATTGACATGATTACGTCATCATCATCATTATGGTCGTCGTCATGGTTATCCTCATCAATAATAAAATGTTCACATTGAACTTACCATTAAAATATCATATTCGATATTAATGACTATAGTCCAAAGTTAAATGTCTTTCACATACACACACACACACACGTACACAAGTACATAAATAGGCATTTACAAGATAGGCAGTTTGTAGACAAAATGTATATAGTAGGCTTGGAGATTAAAAAAAAAAGAAAAAAAGAATCTTATTCTTAAACAAAAGAAAAACAAAAGGACAAACACATACACACAATTGATAAATTGAAATATAAACATCCATTCAATGATTGAATGAGAAATAATTGAATCAATTCATTTACCATGATGTATTCAATGTATTATGATAGTGGATTGGAATTTGGAATTAAGATTAAGGTTGGGGTTGTTGTTGTTGTTGTGATTGACTGGTATAATTCCTGATGTTATTGTACCATCTGAAACCAAATTATCTAAATAATTAAATGAAAGAAATAAAATGACTAGTGATATTAATTTTTATTATTGGAAAGGGTTTTTGTAGATATTATAGTTAATTCAATGGTTGAGATGATGAATTAACTGAAGTTGGACCACTATGGAAAACCTGGAAGTACTGTTTGACGAGTGTTTCATCTTATTGTGGGACTCCTGAACAGTAGGTATCCTTGATCCAGGTCCATCCAGTGCTTCCAGGTTTTTCATAGTAGTCTAGCTTCAATTTACTTATGATCTCAATCATTGAAGTTACTTTAATATCCACAAAAACTCCTTCTGATATTAATCAATATATGCTCACTAGTGACTGGCTTCAAGAGATATTTCCTGAAGTTCTAATGAGAAGCAGCGACGAGTGAAGTTCAACCAGGTCTGTTGTGAGATAGTACCTCATTGAAAACAATAGTAGATGTGTCGATCAATCTAGTGGATTGGCTAAAGTTAGACATTAACCCTGTTGGATGCCAACTCAGTGGTCTAGATTTTAAGCGCTCGTGCGCGAGACTGATAACCCTGTTTTCGAATCTCGCGAGATGGGATGCGCACTGTTGAGGAATCTCAAAAATGGGAGGAAACAGCCGTCCAGTGCTTCTAGGTTTTCCATGATGGTCTAGTTTGAATTGGCTCATGATTTTAACCATTAAAATATTAATTTTAGATTATCAAAATACATGACAATATTTTACTGACTTCAACAGATAATCAGTTAGCTGAAATAAGAGTTAAACTATCCATTTCTAGATAACCATCTCAACAGGTTACTAATGGAGTCACGAGACTTGTTACATAAAAGGATAATGAGTAGTTAATATTTCATTGATCACATGATTAAATAGATCATTTGATAAAAGATGAGGTTGAAACTATTGAAATAACTAAGAAACGTTAATCATAATGTTTCATTTTACTCTGTCGGTCAAAAGATCTTGGACTATTTTGATTTGACAACATATTTTTTTACATTTTTCAATATGGACTATTGAAGTCCTGTAAAATTCATATATTCAGTTATATGAATTTTGAAGTCAGATTGGAGCTTATGAGAGTGGAATACTTCGTAGACTAATGAGATTTACGTTTCATGGCATTTAGTTGAGGTGTTGCGGAGAGAACAGAATTTATGGACGAGTTGGTCAGAATCGATTAAGTAAGTTCAAGGTCACTGACGCCCATTTCAGTATTCGATGGACACGTACGAACGATTTACAGTGGATTTCAAGGAGGATGTTATAATTAGGTGGTTACAAGAGATGCAATTACCAAGAAGCCCCTTTATTTGATTGCGTTATTCAAATGACTACTGGAAAGTGTGCAGACTATCATGATGATGTGGCATTTCAATGTATTATGAGTTGGAGGAAGAAGTCTGAAAGGGTGGGGACTTTTTCTACTCCATTCCGATTGACACAAAGAAAGCTCACTCGAATTGTTGCAAACTGAATTATAAGATCACCAGTAAAACTGACTGAAAACTTCGCAGATGTTACTGAAGCTTCAGTAGTTCAGTGGTATCAGTACTGTGAAGATATATGCGCAATAAGGAATATGAGTTGAAATCAGTCGTTTGGAGAGATAGGGGGAATCAAAGAAATCAATGAAACAGTTGTTGGAAAACACAAATTCAGTAGAGGAAGAGGTGTGAGAAAAGAGTGAATAAGCTACAGCTGTTTAAATATACTTAGCAGGTTTTTGATATATATGAAAGAAGACATTACCAACGTGCCAGAAATTAACGAGATACAATGCTGACACTAATCATATGGGAGTATGCGCAGGCGGGTACTACAATATACACAGACGATCAAAGGGCATATAGATTCCTGTTTAGACATGGTTGTGTTCATCGTGTTGTCGTTACGAGTGACATTTTGTAACCTTAGCACAGGAGTACACAACAACTGTTGTATCCTAACGAAGAACAAATGAATAGTAGGAATATTAACTTGTTCCCGACTTATTAGTTACAGTCTCTCACACTCAGCCACTTTTGGCTTGATCTTATATAGTTATTATTTTATATTTTTTGATGTAATGAGCTTTGGTTTGCCTGTATATACACCATATGTCTGAAATACATGATTCATATAGCGGAGGCTGTTATTTGTGTTCTAGAATCAAAGGGCAGGGCTGGGTGAGAATAATCAATAAGAACTTAGAGTTGGCTTTAGTCTACTCATGCTAGTTAACGCTTTATTGGCAGTGTGTCACGTGATATTTGACGGACCATAGAACATAATGTCAACAATATAGAAGCGATGCAGTCGAGGTTAAAAGAATTTCTATGACCTTATCACGGCTTCAATAGTTGATCATTTTTGAGTCACATAGGTGAGTCCCTGTACCTTGTGCATTAACAATTTCACAACTATAGAGGCTCTTTATAACTTGGGCAAGTTTTAAACCATGCTAAAGAAGTATATCTACTCTAATTTTTTGGTTCTGAATAGTAAATTCTTACTCTATATAAAAGGTTTTCTGATGGGCTGCAATTTTTCGAGGTCACTCTTAAGATCCGTTTAACGGTCATCCATAAATTATAGTTTCGCCAGGCGTTTGTATTATTGCCTCAAGCATAACAGTCTCCCATGTCGTGTTTGGTGGTTGGAGTTGTCAAAAGGAATCACTGGGTCTAGGTTTCCTGCTATCTGACACTTATAAGTAACGTGTATATGCGATCTCGAAGCAACTGATATACTCTGGTGGATTCGATTCCCTATCACCCAGTTTCATAATCTAAGATGTTATTACTGGGCTATTCAGGCCTTTAGTTAACTTCTGTGAAATTGAAATATTTACAATTGATTGACAATTAAATAGGAACTAAAGTCTTGTTTGTCTAGTTCTTTAGTGTTGGTTGAATCCTACTGACCAGTTACTAGTGTGGCCATTAGTCTAAATGATTCAATATCACATGCACTATGTTGAGGTATTAAATGGTTGGAGGTGGTCAATATAAAACCCTGAACTCAGATTTCGTACTATTGATAACTTGATCGATAGAATTCAAATATACCACCTAAAGGATAACACAAATATGACGATGATCACTTATTAATGAACAGTCAATATAATGTAGATTATAATTCCTTAGAATAAAAACCAGAAAACAAACAAATGTTTTATGATGAGTTTCATTTAATTTAATATCATCTCCTTCGTTATTCTTATTATTGTTCTATAATATTAAAAGTAGAATGGGCCAAAGTGGCATTAGACAGCATAAATATCTTATCAGATTTAATCTTTGCTAATATTACACAACTTATTGTTCATTGTATTCATCAAATTATCTAGAAGAGAGGTTAAAACCCGTTGTCTAAAAAACATTATAAGCAAAGATAGATGATGTGTAGCGATGGAATTCAAGAATCGCGTTTCGTCCTATTTCGGACTCTTCAACAGGAGTTGATAATCATCACTTTTGGACTCGAATTCAGTACCGTTTGTTCCAAATACTATCCACTTAGCTATTAGGTCTTGTTAGCCACTATCAGAACTAGCTATTTTAAAAGTTAAATTCTCTAAATTCTGCTAGTTCATAGTTTTACAACTATCAATCTCAAATGAATTCATCATTTCAACAACATTTTAATCAGTTATCAAACCAATACAATTCTTTATTAACTCAATATGATGATTACAATACTGATAACTAATAGAATATCATCGAATACAATAAATCAATGAAGCATCTATAATCAATACAATCATGATCCTTACCTGATTGATGATCTATATGTTCAACTTTTGTATTATTAATATAAACTAGATCATTGATAGTTTTATTATTACGATATCGTTGAATTTCTTCCCATATAAGAATTTTCAACTTTTCTTTAGGAAAATTATCTGGTTGTTGAACAAATGGACGTTCAAAGACAGGCTAATATTTAAGAAAAAAAAAGCAAATTTTAAAAGATTAAATCATATATATATATACATTGTGGTGTGTGCTACTTATATCCATATAAGTAGTATATAACAATAGTCGAAAAGAATAGAATCATCTGACAGGCAGAAAGTCAAGAAGGAAAGAATGAGAACAAAAAGTAATTGGTTATTGAAATGTAGGAATAATGAAATCTGAAACGATTGATTGATATTTTACAAATGAAGTATTTACTGTTTGGTTGTCAGATTTAAGTAAGATGTTCTGTAATTTTAATTATTAGTTGTCCTTCCCGAGGGCCTAAATTTACTGCATAATTCTCAGATTTTACTAAGATGTTCTGTAATTCGATTACCTCGCTTGTGTTTTCGTTCACTACGAAGTTGGTGTATTTCTAAGTTTACTTAATTTGATTGGTTAAACATAAAAATTTGATTATGATAAATATATCTAAATTCAGTCAATCCACGAAATTGAGTGACACAACCCCCATTGTCATCAGTGGGTTACTATCTCTCAACAGACCTGGTCGAACTCCACTGGTTACTGATAGGTCTAGGGTTCGAATCTCACGAGGTAGGATCATAAATGCGCACTGTTGAGGAGTCCCATAATAGGCCGGAATGTCCGTCCAGTGCTTCCAGGTTTTCCATGGTGGTCTATCTTCAATTGACTATAATATCCACGAAACTCCTTCTGATGATAAATATGTACCAATTTTTCAAGAAGATTCCATAACACCAATAACATAAATTAACGATTAAAATTAGAACTTTAATTGTATTATTGAATATATGCTTAGTTCTTGATTAAATGTTGATTAGATGATAAAACATTTTGAAAGATGGTAACTAAATTGTCAAAATGTTAAGAAAACTATAGAATAAGGTAATGATAGACAGTTATTAAATAGAGGTATAAAAGTTTAGACGTTTGAATTTAAAGTCATACAATTGTGGATTCCTTAAAGGTGAAATATTATGTCAATGCATTTCAACTGGATGACATAAGAAACCCAGGAAACTTCAAATCTCAACATTATGTGAAATCGAGAATATAGACTATGAACAAGTCTTATATCAGAAAGAAACGGATTCAGAGTACCTCCTGGTCCTCGAAAAATGATCGAATGTTTTCAATTTTCTTGGCAAATGACCTGGCCCTTCTATTCCATCTACACAAAGAAAAGCATAAGAAGACCAACAGTGTAGTAGCAGCTTCTGCAACGGCAGACCTCAATATACACAAGGGAAAAAGCAAGATTTTTAAATACAACACGGAGAATACCAACCCAATCACACTCGATTGCGAAACTCTGGAAAAGGTGGGAACTTTCATGTATCTGGACAGCATCATTGATAAACAAGTAGGATCAAATGCAGAGGTAAAGGAGAGGATTGGCAAAACGAAGTCTCGTTCCTACCGTTGAAGAACATATGGAACTCAAAACAAATGTCAACTAATATCAAAGTGAGGATCTTCAATACGAACGTCCAGACAGTTCTACTGTACTTGGAGAACTACTACAACTATCTTCAAAAGCACAAGTATTTCTAAACAATTATATGCACACAATACTCAATTTCCGTTGACCGGGTATTATCAGCAACAGTCTACTATGACAGAGAACAAACCAGCTTCCAACTGAGGAGAAAATTAGTTGTTATTACAATGATTGTTAGCTTTATCCATTATTATATTTTTGGTACAATATAGAATTCTCAGCGCAAAGTATTTCAACAAGTTTCCTTTTCTGATTCCTTGATCAATCCTGACGATAAATATTGAGTGGTCGCCAGTTAGATGTTAGCAGTTCAGGAATTGATATCTGAATAGTGTAAATTCTTTTCGATGTATATTGCCAGCAACCACAACCACTCTGGTTGTGCTTTTTCCTAACTTGTACAATAAAAGGTCATGAACTTTTCACAAACGCACGTGAATAGGTTGCGCAATTAATCCTGAAGGGAAACCAAAAATAGGAAGGCCAAAGAACACTGGAGCGAGAATTGAAAACAAACGTGAAAATGATGGATAGCCATTGGAGAGGATTTCCCAGGACACGATTGGATGGAGAATGCTAGTGGGTGGCCTATGCTTCTCCATGAGGGATAACAGGCGTAAGTAAGTAATTTCAATCTTAAATTGCACTTTCAGATCTATGAGTAATCAGTGTTTTAATCATTTGTCCTAGTTACTAATTCTACTTTAAATTGCTAAACAGTGTATATGTAGTGAACAAACACTCAGGTGAGGAGGGTCAATTTATTGTTCAATGTAAAATTATATAGTGTCTTAGTAAAATGTGAAGATTATACATTAAATACTTTATTTGCACATGCTCCATCAATTGTCTCTGACAAAAACTTCCTTGTTCCTTCATTCCTGTTGTTATTACAATTACTCTTTGTTTCCATTCTTCTTTTCTTCGATTTGATCTTCTCAATCTTGTGCTACCAGGCATTTTACTTCTGATTGATATTACATACTACTTATTTCTGTCGACATAAGTAGCACACGTTGCATACATACAATGAAATTCTCTTTTTTTCTCTCTCATCATATCTTAGATCAACTGTTAGTGAATGAACTTTCACCTAATGAAATGCATCCTGATCACAGGTAATTTTGAATGGTGCTGGTTTATTAAATTTTCATTTTGATGGAGAAACTATAATTTATGAACGAACCAATCAGGTATAAGATAAGAGGTCTTGGGTTTGAGCGCGAGATTCATTCATCTATTTGGATAAATAACATTTTGGTATTTTATCTGATGCCAGTTCATAATGAAAACTCTAAATCTAGTCCTTATCCTACACACTGGTTTAAAACCATCATTTAGCCTCAGTCAGTAGGTAGACATTCTCAAGGCCACTTCAACGTCACTCTAAGGTTGTCCATAAATTATAGTCTCATCCCCAATTCTGTTCCTATGGGGACATACTTGGATAATATTAGTAGGAACAGTAATAAGATTAAGCCTCTCATCTTAAAGAAAAGTCTTATAGTTCGTGGTCAATAATTCGGTTATGATATTCGGAGAAATGAAGAAAAATATCAAAAGACTATCCTTTAAAATAAACACTTACTCAATTTCGTCAAAAAATATCAACCCAACTCATTAGCAGGAATAGAAATCAAGTATAGGGAGCAAAAAACAGATCATCTTACGATATATGAAAGACATCAGAAATTACGAGACTAATGAAGCCGTTTGGAATAGATGCATCACACAAACCAGCAGAATCACTTCAATTAATCCTACGCAAATCAATGGAAATAATAACAAAAGAAGAAAAACCAAACATCGTCTACAAAGTCAACTGTTGCAACTGCTAAAAATACTATATTTGATAAAGTGGACACCACCTTCATCTTCACCTGCATGAACATAGGTTGATTGTCAAACTCCATGATATATCTTTGCTTATATCAATCCATGTGGAGAAGATGTGTAGCTCAGGTGGATGATTTTGATGGAGTTTCATTTTCTGAGCTGGACGGTCCGGTCGTGGAGCTTTCATCGTTCTTCTGAACGACATCATCAGCACAAACTTCAGATAGAAGTGAAGTGTTCGAATTTCTCCATATGCGTTTCACAGCTTGTTCTGTACAACTCGATGTTGATTGGTTCTTATTGACCTTAAATTTGTCATTGTTTACTTCTTTGTTTTGGTTGTGTCTCCCATCGGTTTGATTTTTGTTCCTATATTTGTGCGTAATTTTCCTGATCGGTTGATAAATTGGATCGATTTCAATGTGCTTGCTGATTGCTGATTGACCTGAGTGTCGGGTTTCTAAAAATTCTCTGATATCTTTGGAATTTCCTCTGTCCAAGATTTCCACATTTTCCAATCGAATGGGTGTCCGCAGTTGTCCACGTGTATTGATACAAGTGAGGAAGTATCATGGAGTTTGACTGCTAATTGGTGTTCATGTAGGCGGAGGTGAAGGAGGCGTCCGCATTGTTCAATGTAGTGTTTCTCGCAGTCGGCACAATTTATTTTGTAGATGATGTTTGATTTGTCTTCCTTTGTTATTTCATCCTTTGGTTTTATGTATGGTAGAGCGATCGCCTTACCATACATAAAAGGCATATCAGAAACCGCAACGAAACTGCTGAATACCTTCGGGATAGGTGTGGTACACAAACCGACAAAATCACTACAATCAATCCTATGCAAACCAAAGGATGAAATAACAAAGGAAGACTCGAAACCGTCTCTAGCTCCTTCAGTTTGTAAAAGCTAAGTAGTAGTATTAGTATCACTAGTCGTCACACGTAGACAATGTCACTGAAAGCGGAGTAATTTGGAAGTGATGAAAGGATAAATTAAGCAAATAGTTACAAAGTATAGATATACCTACAATATCCTTGGAAGTAAGATGAAAAATTAACATATGGACATTGTAGCAATACAATGAGTGTTTTTGATTATATTCAAAGAAGGTATTTGTGTGTCAGTTTGTAGCTAAAACATGGAAATTCATATTTTAAGAGTGGGTTTTGTGGAGATTTTAGAAATTTCACTGGTTGAAATCATGAGTCAATTGAAGCTAGACCACCATGGAAAACCTGGAAGCACTGGACGGCCGTTTCGTCCTAGTATGGGACTACTCAGCAGTGTGCATCCACGATCCCGCCCCCAGGTCTGTTGTGAGATAGGAACTCATTGAAGACAATGTTGTACGGTGGCGCAACTTCGTGGATTGGTTGAAGTTAGACATTAACACTGTCGGATGCCGGCTCAGTGGTCTAGTTGGTTAAGCGCCTGGCGCGAGACTGATAGGTCCTGCGTTCAAATCTCGCGGGGGGAGGGATCGTGGATGCGCACTGCTGAGGAGTTCCATACTAGGAAGAAACGGCTGTCCAGTGCTTCCAGGTTTTCCATGGTGGTCTAGCTTCGATTGACTCATGATTTCAACCAGTGAAATTCCTATTTTACAAAAAGTAAAGATAAAACCAATTAGTTGATGGATTTGTTTTTCTT